CCCCAAAACCCCAAAACCCCAAAACCCCAAAACCCCATTTAACTCTAAATTCCCTGAAAATAAAATATTTGTTAATTCTTATAAAATGGCTAACGAAACTCAACAGAAAGATGCTGAGAAAATGATGAAGAGTACTGCCTTCATGGAGGAGTCATACGACCTTGTTAATAAGGAGAGGTTTGGACTTTTCTCCCAACCTGGATCCCTTGCTATTGGGGAGAATACATACGCTCCCACAAAGCAAGCTCACAAAGATGAGGATGGAAGAGTTGTGACTGAGCCACCTAATTTCTTAACCACTAAGGTGAAGAAAGGTAATATCGATCAGGTCCTTTTCTCTGAGCCAGGGTATATTACGAGTGGAGACCCTTATTCAGATAAAAAGTTAATTATGAGAGAAGCTAAAAAGGACGGTCATAAAGCTGTTAGCGATAATGCTTTTAAACCAGCGAAATCAATTCCTAGTCCAGTCAAAGCAACGTATGAGCACATGCAAGCTGATGAGCATGAAAAGAAGAACTTCAGAGATGCTGATGGGGCTGTTAAGACTGCTCCAAGAAACTTTACAACCACTGGCCCAAAGCAAGGTAAGTTCTAACTCTTTCAATGTTTTAATTTTCTAGGAGCTCCAGGTACAACCCCTTCTGTCCTTTTTGAAAAAGAGTACTATCCACACATAAAGGATGAATATGACAGGAAAAAGGAGCTTGCATCTGAAGAATTAAAGGAAAGCAGGAAAAAGATGCAAGAAAAGCCATTCAGTCAGAGAATCAAACCACAGGCTACTTTCAGCAATGTTCAAGAAGCATATGGAGAGGAAGGAATGAAATTCCCAAAGAAGAAACCACAGAGAAAGGCGAAGCCACAAGTAGAACATCCTGGTCCCTTCAAGCCAAGTAATCCTCCAAAGAAAGGAGTGACTGATAAGACTTTACAGGCTTTCCCTGAGTATTTAGATGACAAGAAGGCTAAAGAAGATCCTAACTACGGAAAACCAACCCAGAAAAAGGCCAAGAAAGAGGATGAAAGACCAGCTTGGAAGCCTAACACCTTCTCTAAATCCAGGCCAACTCCTAGTGTCGCTACCAATCTAAGAAATATTCGTTCTTCCCTTCCTACGATGATGAGGAGATAAATAGGTTGTTCAATTTATAAGTTTTTATTCGGGGTTTTGGGGTTTTGGGGTTTTGGGGTTTTGGGGTTTTGGGG